TAAAAATGTAGAAATATGGGTTAGCACACAAAAATGTACTAAGTATGATAGCCATCCAAAAACCATGTATCAAAAGGACATTTTGGTTAAAAACGATGCTATATGTCAATTTTGAGAAAACATCATGAACTTTAGTATAAAAGGCATAAGATACAATCACATTGAACATATAAGTCATTTCATCACATTAGAACCTTGACCTAAAGTAACTCTAAGCTATACTTGTGCAATGTAAGAATAACATCCCATAATATTATTCCTACTAAGTACCACTTTGAGGCCATCTAAGATGAACTTACCATTCTTCCTTGCTCATTCTCTTTAGTCAATACTCACACATAAGGAACACATACATTTCATAAGTCATGACAAGGAAAATAACTCATAATACAATCCAAGTAAGCATGCATCATTACATGAAGCATTTAAGTCATCATTCTCATTTGTGTCATTAAGAGCACTTTCATTCATTAGACATTAAGACATTGGAGAATCACACCATAGCCCTCTCAAAGACTACTCGTGCAATGCATGGATGACATCCCATACTACCACCCATACTTCATAGAACTTTTCAAGCAACCATAGTACGTATCTGACATGATGGGACTAAGAATTAACCAACATAGACCATGTGAGCTTAATATGGAATTTGGTGTCATAACCCCACACCGTAAAAAGGTGGTCTACTTGCCTAAGGTAGGACCAGTAACATTTTAGCTTAGGTGGATCCACTAGCTAATGACCTATGTGGGCACATAGTTATCGGATAAGAAAGATGTTCCTTGGAAACGAAGCCTAACGTGGGGAGAGCTTCCATCTTACCATATCCACTCGGTGCTTAGCCTCCATTCCCATAGAGTAGTTCATTCACATTAACATTATTGTACTTGAGAGGAATGACATTGGCCTATCGACCCAAGGTACATTATTACACATGGAAGGAATGCCATAAGCCTATCGATTCATGGTACATTATTAAGATAGCTCATTCAATCCTCATGAAAGGAACACCATAAGCCTATCGATTCAAGATTCATCATTACATTAGTTCATTGACTCTTTAGGAAAGGAATGACATAAGCCTATTGATTCAAGAGTGATGATTACATTAGTTCATTGGCTCATTATGAAAAGAGTGTCATAAGTCTATCGAATCAAGATATAGCCTTAGAACACATTCATTAGTCATTTATGAAAGGAATGCCATTGTCCTATCGATTCATGTTCATTAAGTGAAGGACTTTCATTGACACAAGAAGAGGATGTCTAAGCCTACCAATTCAAGATGTAGCATTACAATGTAGAAACCCTTCACATTCTAACACCATCATTCATAAGTGTTAATTGAGAATAAGCTTTCAATAATAACACAATTGCATTCTAAACATGATNNTAATAACACAATTGCATTCTAGACATGATCACATTACTTTCTTTCATTAAAGCACATGCATATATAATTCTCATAGTCATGTATAGGTTCTTCATTCATTGCCCTTCAAGAACCCTAGGTCACAATTCATGCTTCACATCTTGCATCACTATTCTATACATGGATATTCACATATTTCAATTAGATTAACTAAGACATGCATAAGTTGATCACAATCCACCCATATCAATCATCACCCACACTTTGAGATCCAATTTGACAAAATAGGGGAATTCATGGATTCATAGGTAATTCATCATAAAAACAATAGTAATTCATCAAAATTGATCATAATATAAGACAATAAACACTTCGAAATCGTTTTGGAATGAACCCATG